TATATAAGTAAAGTAATTTAATTTACCTTGGTCTTCATTTTTGCCTTTATCTTTGCGCATCTTTGTTTTTGTTTTTATTTTTACCTTTGCCTTTATCCTTTTCTTTATCTATGTACGTAGTCACCTTTACTTTCATTCTTGTATTGGTCTAAGTGTTATTCTTTAACCTTTTATTATTAAATTTTTGTTAAATTAATACCATATACGTAATCATAAGAAGCGCTTCTTTCAGCCCCAACATTTCCGTTGCACCATTTCCGTCGCATCATTTCCGCGTGAAATTTCCGTTGAATTTGCCAATTCACTCCCAACCAACCAACCGCCGCTAAAGAAGTTTCACTTCAAAAATCTTCTTTTTTGTTGAATTCTAAATACATTGAGGCGTATTCTTGTTTACGAATCGAAAATTTGGAATTTTCGTATAGAAAATGATGGAAAAAATTCATGATTTTCGATTCGTACAAAAACAGGAAAATGCTGGGGGCACTTTTACATTGGTAAGATATGGTGAAGCGCAAAATAGTAGTTCGATTGGTTTAATTTAAATATTTTAACAGTCCACAGAGAAATGCAATTTTTATACAAATATATTATTCGTTCAACATTTAATTTGTGTGCTAAAATGCATTTGTGGCGATATGTCAGACAAATATGTAACTGACTTCTCTCAAATAAATACTTATAAAATAAGAACTGACACACAGAGGCGGCATACGATTATTAACGGAAATATCTAACTCATACACACGCGCACACACACTTACATGCATACAAAAGTATCCAATTGAAAAAGTTCTACATATTTAAAATGCGTATTTGTAAATGAGATTATTTGGCAATCGAATGCTACAGAACTGCAAAGCTCTAAAAAGTACCTGTTGCAAGTGAGTCAACCCCTTGATTTGTTTGTGTAGTACGTTCGAAGGAGAACGCAGTGACTGAAAGTTAAGTAGTACTGCAATATCCTTATCTCATCTGAACTATGTTTGAACAGAGAAGTGCTTAAAAGTCTACGGCAGGCGTACATATCTATGTACATACATACATATATTAACAGAGAAGACGTTAAAAGCGATTTAGTAGCACTGAGGATGCGAAACTGAACAGATTTGTGAAAAATAATTTTTACCGTTAGCAAAAGTGTTTGTCCGCCACAATCCAAAAAATATACAGATAATAATACTCGTAATTAGAAATTCTAAAAACTCAAAGTCAACTACTCAGTGAAAACAATTAAAATCGAAAATGGTTGGAACGGAGGAGCAGGCACCATTACCTTCACAAAACGGGACTGTCGGCCATTACGAAAAGGGCAGTGCAAAAGCACTCCCACCTTCAGAATATTCAAGTGATGACAGAGTTTCTACGATATCCGAGAAGAGAACTATAATTGAACCGGCTGTATTTCTAATATATATTTCCACAACAATTGCTGGTAAGATATTTAATTTATACCCTCCTTAAAATTGCTGGCATGTAACGAGTTTTTCTTCATTTTCAAATAAAAATAAATAAGGGGCCGTCTTGCAAAATCAACTACTTTTTCAAACCTGCGTCGCTGTTTACGACTACGATAAAGATGTTTGTGAGCCACTGCTGGGAGTTAAAGCGAAAAATGATGATGCGATTGTAAGTGCATATCTACTTGTAACTGTGGTCTGTGGTCTTTTAGTGTGAATTATAATTGTGTTTTAAACACGGTGTACTTAAAAAGACACGGTGTAACACAACAAAGAAAACTTCACGAAATTTTTAAGTGACCGAATATAAACACCGGCACAAAAAAAAATAAAAAATTAGTGTGATGTGCATTTGACCGCACCTACCTATGGTTATGTATTTCGACCCGCAGAATCCGAATTTGAAGTGAGTTTGGCCAACACGCCTCCTAGATTTCGAGAAAACTTCAAAAAAACCGTCTTTTATTGCACTTAACTTTGTTCGAAGTTTTTCATAATGTTAAAATTTTTTCATAAAAAAACAACAAAAAAGAAACGAATTACAACTTACGCAAAAGTGGACTTTTAAGCAGAAATTCGGTCAAATTTCCTATAATTCATTGTGGGATATGTTCTGTCCAAGCAAAAAATCCCCAAAAAAAAAGAAGTTTCGACAAGTAGTTTCTATACAAATACAATGGTCTTGACGAATTTACTATTTCGTGAATTATTCGACCACAGCTACGACCTGTACAGGGTCACTAGGAAAGTTAATTTTTACCGTTACACAGTGTAATTATAAATCGATTTAGAAATTTTCAAATTTTATATAAAAAAAGGTACTCAAGTAGAATTACAACTTAAGCTACCCAGCCAGCAAAAAAACTGAAAATGGATCCGAAAAAGGAAAAAAGTGGACGAAACGCGGATTTTTTGTCCGCTTACCGATTCCATTTTCGATCCGTTTTCTCAGTGTGCGGCAGAAACGTATGTATGCACAGAAAAATACCAAAAATGGTTGTAAAACGGATACATTTTTGCCGATTTTTAGAAATTTTTCTACACTTCATAGATGCTTTTTCATAGTTGGAAAAAAAATATTAAGGAGACGCCTGACGGCATTCGAACAAAGCACCTTGTGAAACCTGAGAAGTACTAGCACGCTACTCTGCACGCTCAGTCATTGCCGACTACGTATCCTATAGGTACATGCTTTCAAATGTTCAGCTTGAACACACAAAATAAAATTATCGGTTTCAAGTCAAATGATCAATTTCGAACGTTTTCCGGTTGCGAAAAGGAACGAATATTGTAGTCGTTTTCTGTACGTTTCCGGATACGGAGAATCTACGAGATCGCACTGTCAGCAAAATTTATGTTCCCAGCGGCCTGGGTATGTGTGCGTGTTGTATTCGATATTCGACTGCAGTGGTTGCTCATACGCCCCGCCCACAAAAACAGTTCGGTGGCCTTTTCAATGTTAGCCTTGAGTTGAGTGGTTCTTTTTTTTTGTTGTTAATATCTCTACTCAAAGCTAACATTGTAAACGCTCCTTAATCTTCGCTCGTTTGTTGGAAGAATGCATTTTTAATTGTTGAAAAATAATGTCGCTTTCCAGCAAACTAGCAAACGACTAGGCACTTCAAATATCAATGGATATGTAGGCAAAACAAAAATGCGAATAGATATTGGACGGGACAAGTATATACATAAATATGTAAACAAACAGAGAGAAAAGAAGGAGTCTATATAGATAAAAAGTGTAATAATAATAATAATATTATACTCACGCCTGCATGTTTCTTATCATGATAGACAATAGAGGGCAGTTTCATTTGTTGACATTCGTTGTTGTTGCCGATCGCTTGGCTTTTAACAAGTTTATGACATTTCGCTAAAATAATGCTAGCAGATTCACTAGCAGCAAAATTGTTTTTTTCTTGAAAAGGTAAAACATAAAATTTGAAGTCGCCCGAAGTTGGATGAAAATATTAAAGAAAATTCCTACGCGTTTCCAAACTGCAAGAATTCGGTAGACCTCTGCAAAGGTTCGAAAATAAAGTTTTTTTTTGGTTTTCCGCAGATAGAGTACGTAATACGATCGAATGCAGTTTGATGACAAAAATTGCTGACGCAAAATATTTTTAAACCTCTAAACGATGTACCGTTATCCGGTATCCGCGTGACCCGCCAAAGAATTTAGATTTAATTTAAAAGAAAGATTTCGGTTTGAAATATGCACTTTTTTTTTTAATTTGGAGGTGGATTTTGCGCAAAAATACAGCTGAAGGCCTAACACGAGTTTAATTTTTCTACGCGAAAATGCTAATTTCGCCCCATTTTTAAATGGCCCCCGGAAAGCCTGCAGAAGGGGCAGGGAGGAGAAGAATGGCTTTTCTTAAATTTTATACTATGCTCTTTTTATTTAGTGTAGTTTTAGGTGATACACCCCATTCTCCCTCCGCTCCCCACCAAAACATTTTTGTACAAATAACCGTACGAACATTACCCACGCACAACTTTAGTTTTTTACAATTTATGAACCTTCAAAAACTTATTTTTTGCCAAAAATTTTGAAATGAAACCACCTTCTCTTTTGTATCACATATCTTATCAATAAATTGAAGTTAAATTTCAATCAGCCTTATCATAAGTTTCATTTTCCCCGAACCGGTTTACTTTTCACTTTTGGTTTTACTATGGTTTAAATGTAATTATAGGCCGACACTCGCTAACGCATATATCTACATACATACATACATACATACTATTTATATTCCCAATGACTAAGCAATACCAGATACATTTCGTGTTTGTTTATATCGAATTTATCAATGTTCTGAGTGCGTATAACGTTGATAAGCCAACGAACTCGTCATAATTATTAAGACTCCCTTGTATACCCCATTCGAAAGAGGGTAGGTCACGTTTAAGACGATACCAAGATTCATTCACTTTCATGAAAATACATAATTAAACAAATTATTATTTTTTTTTTTAGTGGAGTCATAAATTTATTTGAGATTTTCTTCACTCTGCGGTTTCTTCATATTGTTTTTGTGATGTAGATAAATGATAGATAATTGGCGACAATCATCACTCATGTGCATTTTGGTGATTTTGGTGACTTCCGGAAAGTGAAAGTTATTTGTATTTCAAATTGATTTCACTTTATAAGTTTTATTTCCCAAATAAGGGGTATGAATTACTTGTACTAATGCCCAGTTAATTCTTCACATATATATACGTATGTATATATATTTAGTAATTGATAAGCTATCCGCCGAGTTCTAAAGTTGAGTGCCAATATTTCTAATGTTTCAGTTGATTTTCGATCGCGCAGCTCACACAACACAACACAAAACAATGTCCAATGAATTATTTCACAGTACCATAACGGCACTGTAATTGCATGACGTCATCAAATTGCACGTTATCAAGTGATTTTGAGCGCACAAACAGTATTTGATCGTGAAGTTTTTTACACTGCGACTCTTAATTTTCGAATATTTGTATAACAACCAAGTTTAAAACATCCACATGTCGCGACACCGTGATGAGGAGACACAAATTTTAATTCCGCCTTCAAACGAGGATGAAGTATCTGTTGTAACGGTACCCTCGCCTACGCTTGCTCCAGGCGCGCGTAAGAGCCGAGCCGTTGAACCGTCAGTATTCTTAATATTCACAGCCATCGCTATCGCCAGTAAGTTCCTCTGTGCAAGAGAAAACTAAATTCGAAATGTTAACTCTTTACGTAATTCTCAATGAAGGTAGCGTGTTGCAAAATCAGATACTTTATCTAACCTGTGTAGGAGTCTACGAACACAATGAGACTGAGTGCCAGCCGCTGATGGGCATTGAGCCGGAGTCTAATATTTCAAAGGCGAGTAAAATGGTTACAAATGGAAATGGAAAAATTTTGTGTTTTCAGTTCTGTGTTCACAACAAACAGCTACTCAAATCTAAAACAAAAATAAAAAAATACGAGTTATAGCATAGACAGAGACGTTGGACTAGCGCCTTATTATTATTGTTATTATTATTTATACAGAAATATATAACGGTAATATCGTTTATTTTTCAGGCTATTGAAACGAAAGTGCAGCCCTATGTGGCCCGTATTATTATGACGAATTCATTGATCAGCAGTATTTTACCAGCATTTCTTAGCTTGTTTATTGGACCTTGGTCTGATAAATTTGGACGCCGACCCATACTTATAGCAACTTATGGCGGTAATTCAAACACTAACTCTTTTTTCTATTAAATTTTGCCAAAATATTAATATGTACACCAAAAATCTTCACCCACACAGCGGCATTGTGCGGACATGCAATAACAACAATCCTGGCAGGCATATCAATGGCAATGCCAATAAATCCCTGGGTTTACGTTATATCGTATATACCGTTAGCAATAACCGGTGGCACTTGTGCCCTGATAACAATGGTATTTTGTCTGGTATCCGATGTGTCCGATGAGGGTGGCAAAGCTAGACGGTCAGTGTTCACTTTAACATAGTTCTTAGCGTATATATCGTACACCGTCTTCAAAAGAGTCACAACTCAAAATAATACGTTTGTCAGAAAAAGCGAAAAACCTTAGGTTTTTTTAACAAGTTATAACAAAAGTTTGATCCAGCTTTTGCTAAAAGTTAAATAAAAGCTCTGTGTACATTTTTAGCGCATAATCTCAAAAATGCCAAATTTTGAGTTATGACTCTTTTGAAGACGGTGTGCGATATACATTTTTAATTGAAAGATTCATATAATCTATTACCATGCCATTTTGGGGAATCACAGTTTGTTCTTAGTGGAGGGCGCTTTGGGCATCGGTACTGTGGTCGGCAACTTAGTGGCTAGTAAAATTTTAGCTGGAACTGGAACCATCGGCGTTTTTGGAATCGCCACCGCACTCGACTTGTTTGCATTACTCTATTTGCTCATATTTGTTGGTGAAAGTCTGAAGTTGAAACACGAACGAAAAACAGTAAGTACTTTTGAGGATGCATTTGAAATTTTCCAACAAGCAGATTGATATTTTGTGGCTACATTTACTTTTTAGTCGAAGCTACGTGAGTTCTTCAAATTCGATTTAATAAAAGATCTAGTGAAAAGTTGTGTGAAGCGCAGACCAAACTATGATCGCGCCATTATTTGGTGTATAATGTTCACCTTAGTCATCACTACTTTTGTTATGCGTGAGTATAAATCATATACAGTGTCGAACAGAAGTATTGGCACAGTGAATTTTTCGCAATATATGCAAAGTTTTTTATTCTAATTTATTTTCGATAATTTTTTCTAAAAATATTGTTCATTCTACACCAGAAAACATAACAATAAAATCTCTAAACTTTGTGCAAAACTCAGGAAAATTCATTAAATTTGCACACTTATTTGCAACTTTTTATTCAGATGTTTTAGAAAAATTCTAAGTATGCAGTTTTATAGCCCATTCAAATTTAGAATAACAAAGTGCAAGTTTGAAGTCGCTAGAAAATCGCATTGATTTTTGGTAATTTTTTTCACGCAAGTTCTTCCATACAAAGTAATTCGACAATTATTTTTTGTATGGAGAAAATGAGCAACACCTTCCACTAAAAAAATTGCCAAAAATTAACGCGATTTTCTAGCAACTTTAAACTTGCACTTTGTTATACTAGATTTTAATGGGCTATAAAACTGCGTACCTTGATTTTTTTTTTTTTAATCTGAATAAAAAGTTGCAAATTAGTGTGCAAATTTAAAGAATTTTCCTGAGTTTTGCACAAAGTTTAGAGATTTTATTATTACGTTTTCTGGTGTAAAATGAACTATATTTTTATAAAAAATTATCGAAAATAATTACAGTCAAAAACTTTGCATATATGGCGAAAAATTCACTGTGCCAATACTTTTGTTCGTCACTGTACATACCTACTTTTTATGTCATAAGAAACTTTATTATAAACAGCAAATATTAACCTAATTACATCCACTCTTTTTTTATTATAGAGGGTGAGTCCAATGTATTCTATCTGTTCTTGCGCAACAAATTCAATGCCAATCTCTCGCAATTTACCACCTACAATGCCGTCACACTCTGCATCAAAATGGTTGGATGTGGCATTATTTTGATTTTATTACGAATAGTAAGTGTGTTCACACAGGCAAAATTTTGAAAATACTTACAAGAAAATTTCCTAAAAATGCACACTCTCATTTGCAGCTTTTCAAGGTGTCTTTAACTATTGTGGCGATTATGGGCTTAGCCGGCTGCTTTATGGACAGTACGATACGGGCGCTTGCCCAAAACTTTTGGCAGATGTATGTGGCCGCCCTAATGGGTTTCATGAGCGGCGTAAATAATCCTATGCTGCAGGCGGTACTCGCTGGCTTAGTAGAAGCAACGGAGATCGGTGAGTCTGAACTATAAATTATTACCTAGATTAGGTTAGGTTAACTTGACTGACCCGTGAGATCTAATATTGACCATTAGTGGGTCCTTAGTATTTACAAGAAAGTGCATAGACCTTAAAATGCATAACTTTTTATTGAGTTTTACGATTTTGTCTCACCTCGCACTTAAATTCATCCAGAAATCGATACATGTTTCTATAGGTAGAAACAAATTGTTCCAAAATAAAGTAATTTGTGTTCTCTTTTATAAAAATCCCTAAAATTTTTAATATATTCTTGAATGTTGTAGTCAGCCAATAGTTATAACCAGGGAACGGATTTTATGGAAGTTGCCTTTTTTTCTGCTAAAGAGATAGAGTATATTCGATTAAGAATGTCCATGATTTAGCTTTTCCTGATTCCATATATACACATTTGATGTGTCCTTTTTTTTGCCTTTTTTAAGATATTTGCCTTTTTTTGCCTTTTCTACCTTTAAAAAAGTGATTATAGCACTTACAATTTTTTTTTTTTAATTAAAAAATATACACATGCCCATGCGGCTTATAGAAGCGCAGGGACCTCTTGCCAAAATCGAATAAAAATGCTGCCAGAAAACTTCAAAATACATATTGTGGTTCAATGTTACTACAACTATACAGATTAAAGAAACTCGAAAGGATAAAATAGTCAAAGATTCAAAGTACAAATTTTTCATATAATGAAACTAGTTCAGAGTTTTTCTCTTTTTACTTGTAATATAAGCATTTCTAAAATAAATATAGTTTGTGATTGTTCTACGTATTTTCTGTCTTTTTTCAGTGCCTTATTTTGCTTTTTTTTGCAATACCTAGTGCCTTTTCTTGCCTTTTTCGCTATTTTGTTTTGCATTTTTTTGCCTATTTCGTTATTTTATTTTGGCCTTTTTTATAGGTTTTTAGGTCCTAAAAATCCGTTCCCTGGTTATAACACATTGAGCCTTTATATTTTTTTAAATTCCATATGGCATGAAAAAGAGTCTCCCTATATTAAAAATACGATAGACATTGCGCATTGCTAAAAATTCTTTGAACTAGAAGCTGTGGTTTTTTTATATTTTGCACTCCCCAGTTACTCTTTTTATAAAGAATTTTAATAGCCCATTGAATTTTATAATATATTATGGGGCAAGATGCTAGGATCCACCGTTGCTAATTTTGCTAATTTACTTCCAACCAACCAACCAACCAACCGCCACTAAGGAATTTTTACTTCAAAAATATAAAATTTAAGCAATTGATTCATTTTCCCCTTTCAGGCAAAATCTACGCGGTGATATCTTCGCTACAAACCATTTCACCTTTGATATCAGCCCCCGTATACACGGGCATTTACAGTGCTTCGCTGTTAACAAACCCTGGAGCCTTCTACTTTCTGAGCAGTGCCATTTATCTCTTGTGCTTTGTGCTCATCAGGTAAGCCTTTTTTTGTCATTAAATTTAAGGGAAAGTATGTATGTATAACACGAATTTATTTGTTTTCTTTTATTTTTAGTGGCATGTATGTATTGGAACGACTTGCCGCTAGATCTCAGAGGAGACAAAAAGCCGCTGCAGTGGAAACATAAGTGAAATTATATTAATTAAATATGGCTTTGTAATAGTTAAGATTATTAAAAAAAAAAACTTAAGCCAAAAATCGCCAATTTTGTATCAGCCGCAGAAGCTTCGCAAATCTAACTCTCTATTTAGTTAGTTAAGCTTTGTAATACCGTTTTATTTGTTTTGAATGTGTTACCACTAGTTGTGGCGTGGTTTAAGCCAAGTTTACAATAGGGTGTCTGCGTATGTACATATGTATTTATGTATAGTAGTATTTAAATATGCAAGTATTAAAAGTAAATAAATATTAAGCTAAAATAAAACGACGCCAGATTCAAGCGAACTTATTATTTGTCTTCCTGTCTGGCGCTGTAACCGCCTAGCGATTTTTCAATAAGACGCCATATGCGTATATGGCAGGATCACCCTTCGTGTGGATTGGTAAGAAGAGCTCCAGTAGCATTGTTGTTTCTCAGTCAATAAATTGCGATTCATATCTCGTCATAGTCGGGTGTTGGGGCACCGACTCCGTCGTCCTCGACTTGGGACTCCACTTCTTTACCAAGCTTCGGACATCGCTAACTAGGTCGCCATGTTTTTTCCCACAGAAACTTGCCGTGGTCTAAAGGCCTGCGTAAGTCGATTAACTTTCCGATAGAAATTTCGTTTGCATTTTTTCTGTCGACCAGCAGGTCAAGAAGCTCTTTCCACTTGCATATTTTGGCGTCTATTTATTATACATAAATTTAGGGGTAGGCACTCGAAGTGTTACCAATTAAAAATGCTATAAATTTGTAACAGGGCGTAAAGTTAAATCAAAAAATCCACATTAAAAATGCTTTATTATCTTGTGAACGAAAACAATAAGTTAGAAATCATTGGACGTTTCAATAAGTCTCGGCAACATCGCATAAAAGACATTCGTGCAGACTCGATGCTATTATTCGCATTTTTATGACGAACGGTTCGATGCGTTACTGAAACTTGCTTCCGGCACATACCTTGGAGTGCGCCATTTCGCATAGTCATGCTTCCGCCGACCATTGGTGGTCACCTGGCACCCATTTCACCGGATGTATGCCTCTTCCTCTGTCCATGACTTCTAGGCTTCGATCCTCTGGCTGCACAACACTTGGCACATCTCGCCAACCACTCATCAAATGACTAGGTAACCCTCTCCAGGGTTTTCTTAGTTCCCATATGCTCACCATTTGGACCTCTGTGGAACTCGCGGGGAATGTCCGGAACCTTTGCCTTTGGAACAACCATTAGATTCCGGTTGCATACGCCTCGCTCTCCCATATCCGATGTAAGCAACCACATATCAGCTTCATGCTGTCCTACTGTGCCCATACTGGGTCTTTGCGGTTGTGCTTTCCGCTGACATTTCCTCCCAGGTCGGACGCTTCCTCAGCTGCAGTCCTAGCATCACAACTGCTAAATCTGGGTCCTCAGGCTGAAAATTGCCTACCGGACATGTATAACCTCATCCTGAACCTCAGGCTTTACTGCCTACCCCTGCATCCTCTACCGATTATGGCCGTTTCCTGGACGCTTCTTAGCGCGCGCACAGCTTCCACCGCTGGCGCCAATTCCGACCAGCGGCTTATCACCATTGGAACGCGGTTAGGTGGCTCCCTACCTGTCGGAAACACTGCCTGGCTTTCCATGACCACTTCCTTGATGTGACTTCCCTTTTTCACTGAGTTGGCGGAACCGTTACGCTTTCCCTTTGTGGCTGAACAGCTTCTATCTCCCGCCGAAACAACTCCATCTCAATCACAACTAACCGCTTCCGTTTCAGGTGCAATCTGGCTTCCTCTAAGAGCAACCGTCTGCGGCAGTACTGGTTGTCGTAACCAACCCTAAGTGGCACTTTTCTGTCGCGATATGTCAGTATCATTCCCTGAAGGCAAATCTTCACGCCTTGGCCAAGTAGAAAGTCCACGCTGATGGAGGCGTCATCCACAATGTCTGCCACTATAAACTTGTTGTACGAGGCCACACCCCAGATTATTACCTCGCATGATGCTTCTACTAACACTTGGGAGTGCTCACCAGTGGCAGTCGGCAACTTTGCTCCAGGTACTGGCCTTATATACCAAGTGGCCAAATCAGGTGAAAAATTAAAAAAGTTATTTTTTCGTAGCTTACTACATATATAAATCCTCATCATCGCAGGCCTGTGTAATTCATCGCAATTCCGCCTTATATATTTACATACATATTTGAGGTTACTTACTTATCCCCGATAAGAACTTCTCACTAAATTTAAACTTTTGAGATAAAAAAAAAACAAAAATTTATTAAACAATAACAAGCAAAGACCCCCAGGATAGATTAGTAAGAATTTATGATATGTAAATAATTAAAAACGCAGAGGCATTTTCTTAACAACAAATCAATGCCACTTGTTAACCACTTACCATGCCATTTAAGAATACAGTTATGAGCAGAAAAGGGTTTCCTTCATAAAATTTTGGCTCGGCACGTGTGTAGGTAGAACACATATTCGAAAACACGCACGAACACGTAGTACGGCCCTGCACGACATAACGCGATTAGGACGGATTACCTGGAATCGCACCAAAAGTATTAGCTTTAACGAAAGAATGAAGCATAGCTATTATTTCTTTTACACAAGAAAATTTGCATTATAAATTTCTTGTTCTGAAGATTAGAAGCCCATACATACGCACACATATACATATGTATGTACTTACGAAATTTTTTTTTTTTGCTTGCACATTTTCAAAAGTGGTTTTCCTTTTCTCCACCCATTAGACTTTACAGTACCACATTTTTATAAAAACAAACGATTTTCTAGCTTTAAGTATAGTAAATGGACGCCTGGTTCGTCTTTTGTCAGTATTTCGTCGATAAGGAAAACATCCGCTTACTACTTAGTTGCAGAGGTTACAATAAAGTTCAAAATATCCTTACTGCAACAGCTTGCAGCATTTTCAAATCCTTTGTCCGTTGGCGAAACTCTTAAATGGCCGAATTCAGGATGTGAAGTGGTTGCTAAAATATTTCAAGCTCAACATCTATTTTGCAATTTACCGAGCTTTTTTTGCCATATAACTTACCGGACTTTTTTGTTATTTTTCTTGCTTTGCTGAAAATTCACTGCACGCCCATGCACGCACAAGCTCGTGCTGAACTCAAATTTTCCGGCCCGTTACAGCGAGCTTTCACAAGAGCCCGGCCCGTGCCCATCTCTACTGTGTACTGTACACATGTACATATCGCACATCACTTTCAAACGGGGGGCACAACTCAAAAATTAGATTGCTGAAATATAACTGCTTGTGGATCGTACAGCTACAACGCAATTAATACAAAAACAAGCATAACAATGCACGATCCAGAAAATAAAGGTCGCGCCATTCGCGGACCGCTAACCCTCTCTTCGTCGATTTGACAGCATCCACCCAATCGCTGACGTCATAAAATACTTTTGTTTACATTCACTGTTGCCACCTGGATGCTTTCCGCGCCAAATTTAGTGGGCATTCAAAACGCGAAAATTTGCTTGGTGCGTATTTTGGTGCTTTTGTTTTTAGTTTGAAGACACCAAATTAGAAAATCTTAAAAAAAAATGGAAGCAAAATTTATAGCAATCGTTAGTGTGGTAAGCAACTTTACAAAAATTTGAACAAAATCATGGCACAGTGACATAAGCGACAACAAAATATGTGGCAGCACCTTCAATCATTCCAGAAGAAATAATCGACCGTCGTGCAAGAAACATTGATTTTTATTAATTTGATTCGAATCCTTACAATAAAATTATGTATGTATATAAAGTCCATAAAATATACCAATAAAAATTTGGTGCTTTTTCAAATTCAAAACTTGGCAATACTGCCTTTTGTTCGATGCTTCCTCGATCTTTTTCTTGTCGAGTTCGTCTTGCTCTCTCATTCTGGTATTTTTTGACGTCACGGCCAGTTGCTCTCAGCTCGATTGGCGCAATCTTGTATTCTATCATTGATAACAATGGCTTTCTAGTTAGAGAATATAATCGCGATGAAAAAAAAATTTCACCAATCGAAGATATATCCTACAAATTGATTTATGCAAAAAAAAAAAAACACATTGAGCTAACATTTTTTTGAGTTATGCCTGTGTGGGATACATATATAAAAACACTTCACACGGGTAGTGATAAACACTACCTGAAACCTTCGGAAAACCCCCCTCATAATACATAAGTGAGCATATTTAATTCATTGTTAATCAGATATGGTAAAAACTAGTGGACATTTCACAAAACAACATACATATGTATGGGATTTTTGAAGGTTAAATTTTAGTTTAAAAGTAATTACCATCCACAAAAATATTGCATTTATATATGTAGGTATAAAGATATATCAAAATTCCATAATAAGTTACACCTCTAATTGGTTAATAGTAAACACATTTCATACAAAATCACTGTTTGAATTAAATGTTTAAATTATTAAATGATTAAATAGTTAAATAATTAAACCAAATATATCAATGCCAGATCACAAAAACCGTAGTACAATATGTCGCCGTCCCTGGTCGGCATGCAATGGAGAACCTACCAGCGCATTTCTGCAATAAAAGATCTTTTCATAAAAAGCCAACAACTGTGCCTGCACGCTAATAACTTGTATCTGCACAGTGCTGTAAATACATATATGTACATATGTATGTATAGACGTATATGTCAAGCATCGTAAAACTTGAATGCCATTTATTGCGATGAATGACAAGCAATATTAAAAATTTTCATTAACTATATATGTATGTATGTATGTATAGATGTATGCACACATACATACGGTGGCGAAAATGTAAATAGGGAGAAGACATTTTTAGCAATTTTTGGCTATGGTTATTATTATTATTATTTTTTTTTTGAAAATATAGCTTACTGTCTAAAACAAATGACGTAAATCGCGATATTTCAAACTTTATAGAACATTTATAAAAATTCCAAGAATTTTAACAAATACTCACCAAAATTTTAAACTTCTTTATCCGATTTTTTAGAATTCTTTTAAGTATGCGCTTTTTGTAGCCCATTAAGTTTTAGTATAGTAAAGTGCAAGTTCGAAGTAGCTAGGACTTACTTACCATTGACGATTGGCATTTTTTTGTTCACGCATTTTCTGCCATACAAAGTATGTTCGAAAATTTTTTTTCTATGAAGAAAACGAGCAACACCTTCCACAAAAAAATTCCAAAATCAA